TATATATATATATATATATATATATATATATAAAGCTTAGCACTGAATTTTAATTTTTGTTCTATCGTTCTCTTTGCATTTCTCGTTCTCTCAGCCTCTCTCGTTAAAAACTTGGTTGAAGTTATTAGTTGTTAATTTAGGTGAATATTATGTAATATATGTATTAGATTTAAAACAACAAGCCTATTTTGGACTCTACTCGAATTGAACCCGTAAAATAACCTAAAATCATCAACTCGAATTAAATTCGGGCAGTACTCGAGTTGAGTTCTCCAACCCGAGGTAGGGTTAGGGTTATGGTTAGGATTGGAGATTATTTAGGTAGGGTTGGGCTATGGTTGATTGTCCGACCCATCCAACCCGCCCGAGTTGCACCTTACTTTGAAGTATCTCTAAGAATTGATCTATTATAGATGATTCTTAAGATTTAAAGAAATGTCATTATGTTTCTATTTAATAATGGTTGGGTTGAAATATGCTATAAAAATATTGTTGTTTTCGTTTGTTCATATTTTATTAGCATTGACTTGATTTCGGTTTTAATTTTTATATAGTAATTAAGTATTGAATATTAATATATTTCACATAGTTAAACTAAGAAATTTTTGGTGTGAAGTTTACACCTAATTCAGTTCTTATTAATCAAGATGCGGGAATTTTTTTAATGCCAGTTGGTTGTATTTTTCACTTATGTTTTTGCCCCAGTAAAATAGAATTCTGACAGCGCCGCCCTTGATTGTTGTGAGTAATCAAATTAGCATAGTTCGTTGAATTAGGTTAAAATCAAAGAATCTATTCGCCTCCCTTCTAAGTTCACTAGTATTCCTAAGACATTGTTCCATGCATTCTCACAATCAGAGTTAAGGTCCAATAAATGGAGGATTTTTCTAATACTAAGCTGTCATTGTAATATTCAATGCATTCGCTGCTGAGCTTTCCCCTCTCCCTCCATGGCGATTACCCTTTTGAGCAAATGCTCACTCCTGCCCCTCCATCTCCATCTTTCTCCTCCACCTCCCCTCCTACTGCCTTAGTAAAGATCTGTGCACCCTTTGGGTGTGTTTGGGCAATGGGGTTGGATAGGTTAGGATTATTTTTTTTATATCCTAATCCATCCAAGTTAAACTCACTCATCCACTTTAAAAAACTTTATGTACGACTTTGATAAACATCGGTGAATTGAACAATATGAAATTTAGTTATTAAAACAGAATTCTCAGTTTAAGAGTAAAGTTGTACAAAGTAAAATAATAAGACAATAAAGCGGAACTAAACCCAAAAAAAGTTCAAATAAACCCCCATCAACTAACCCACAAATGATATCTAAAATAAGCTATGCAGCTGATGCAAATTGCCTTTAATTTTTGTTTCTGAGAAACCAAACTGAACGTGATAGAATGAGAACTTCAAATCAAGAAAGAGAATGTGAAGGCAATTGACTTCTGAGTCCATCAATAGCAAAAAAGCTCGAAATCATCTAGTCTAATTTCCAGCGTTGGAGCAGAACGATAGAGGGCAACCATAGGCTCAACATCGTTGACGACAAAAATTTTTCCCTGAGACTGGAAAATTTCCATTTCTTGCCTAGAATCTGAAACAGCCAAAGTAGCAAAGCAAGAAATCGGAGTGAAAACCGTAAATCGTTTCTTTTATACGTGGGAGAGATATGGCAGGAAATGATTCTCACCTTTTTCTCCTCCAATCGGAGACAGAGAGAGATAGAGAGGGCGATGAGACACTTACCTCAAGAAGAAGCTCTGTTCTTCGTTCTGTCCAGCGATGTCGCCTTCTTCGTCGACTCTATGAAGAAGCTCTCACCCACAGATGCAGAAAAATGGAGGACCTCCCCAACACCACGATCGTCTTCGCCTTTGTGCAAACCCTTGGACGAGCTCAGCTGATAGGAGAAAGAGGGATTCGTCGCTATGAGTGGGTGGAGACAGAGAAAGGGGCAAATATGTCTGTGTGGGGAGTAACCTATTGCTTGGGTTTGTAACCCATGGAGGGGGTGGGTTAAGTGTGACCGGCCTGGGTCTGTTTGGATGAATATTAGGGAAGGGTTTGGATTGATTTTTTCAAATATTTTTAAACTCAAATTCTTAATGAGATTCAATATTTAATTCAGTTCATACTCTTGTTTGATATGCAGTATCTACACAAGTAGGACTCACATATATATATATATATATATATATCATAATTATTAATAATTATTTGTCCTGTAAATAATTATTTTACTCTTGATCAATTTAATTTATACTCATATTATGAGATACAATTTTCTCTTGGATCTTTAACCTTTTATCCATCTTCCCAAATCCACACACTCTCTAAGTTTGATGAAATTCATGATCATGAGTTTAATTTTCGGGCCAATTATGAGCTGAGTTTGAAAAATCAGGACTGAAATTTTTATACAAACATAGAATTTGGGGATGCTGTAGACTATTTTTCCCAAACCTATCCTTTTTTTTCCTACATCCTCATAAATTACCTATGNCTCCATGGCGATTACCCTTTTGAGCAAATGCTCACTCCTGCCCCTCCATCTCCATCTCCATCTCCATCTCCATCTCCATCTATCTCCTCCACCTCCCCTCCTACTGCCTTAGTAAAGATCTGTGCACCCTTTGGGTGTGTTTGGGTAATGGGGTTGGATAAGTTAGGATTATTTTTTTTATATCCTAATCCATCCAAGTTAAACTCACTCATCCACTTTAAAACCTTAACCTTGAAATATATCTAATCCAATCCTTTGTTTGAAAAACAAATGTATAATTGAGTAAATCCCATAGATTACACAAATAATTTTATAATAAATTATCATTCTACTCGTGACTCTATCCATTCCGATCCAAACTAATCTTATCCTATGTTTGAATTGGTGGATTATCCTGTTAAAATTATACATTTTTCACGTATACATAAAAATATATAAAAATAAAATAATTTTTTTTGTTATGAATAACTTTATGTACGACTTTGATAAACATCGATGAAGTGAATTGAACAATATGAAATTTAGTTATTAAAACAGAATTCTCAGTTTAAGAGTAAAGTTGTACAAAGTAAAATAATAAGACAATAAAGCGGAACTAAACCCAAAAAAAGTTCAAATAAACCCCCATCAACTAACCCACAAATGATATCTAAAATAAGCTATGCAGCTGATGCAAATTGCCTTTAATTTTTGTTTCTGAGAAACCAAACTGAACGTGATAGAATGAGAACTTCAAATCAAGAAAGAGAATGTGAAGGCAATTGACTTCTGAGTCCATCAATAGCAAAAAAGCTCGAAATCATCTAGTCTAATTTCCAGCGTTGGAGCAGAACGATAGAGGGCAACCATAGGCTCAACATCGTTGACGACAAAAATTTTTCCCTGAGACTGGAAAATTTCCATTTCTTGCCTAGAATCTGAACAGCCAAAGTAGCAAAGCAAGAAATCGGAGTGAAAACCGTAAATCGTTTCTTTTATACGTGGGAGAGATATGGCAGGAAATGATTCTCACCTTTTTCTCCTCCAATCGGAGACAGAGAGAGATAGAGAGGGCGATGAGACACTTACCTCAAGAAGAAGCTCTGTTCTTCGTTCTGTCCAGCGATGTCGCCTTCTTCGTCGACTCTATGAAGAAGCTCTCACCCACAGATGCAGAAAAATGGAGGACCTCCCCAACACCACGATCGTCTTCGCCTTTGTGCAAACCCTTGGACGAGCTCAGCTGATAGGAGAAAGAGGGATTCGTCGCTATGAGTGGGTGGAGACAGAGAAAGAGGCAAATATGTCTGTGTGGGGAGTAACCTATTGCTTGGGTTTGTAACCCATGGAGGGAGTGGGTTAAGTGTGACCGGCCTGGGTCTGTTTGGATGAATATTAGGGAAGGGTTTGGATTGATTTTTACAAATATTTTTAAACTCAAATTCTTAATGAGATTCAATATTTAATTCGGTTCATACTCTTGTTTGATATGCAGTATATACACAGGTAGGACTCACATATATATATATATATATATATATATATATATATATATATATATATCATAATTATTAATAATTATTTGTCCTGTAAATAATTATTTTACCCTTGATCAATTTAATTTATACTCATATTATGAGATACAATTATCTCTTGGATCTTTAACTTTTTATCCATCTTTCCAAATTCACACACTCCCTAAGTTTGATGAAACTCATGATCATGAGTTTAATTTTCGGGCCAATTATGGGCTGAGTTTGAAAAATCAGGACTGAAATTTTTATACAAACATAGAATTTGGGGATGTTGTAGACTATTTTTCCCAAACCTATCCTTTTTTTTCCTACAACCTCATAAATTACCTATTCTTCTTGTGACCTTCAAACTCCATCTCTATCTATCTCTTCCTCCTCTCCTCCCTCTCCTACTGCCTTAGTAAATATGTGTGAATCCTTTATCTATTTCTCAAACCCTCTTTTTTTCTACAACCCCATAAATTACCCATTCTTCTTATGACGTTCAGTTCTCATCCCTTCCCTTTCAATAACCCATTCACCAAACCACTCATCCTTCGCACCCACACTGTGTTATGGACAAATTACAAAGCATTGATACAGAGTTCACAATTCAGCTCAACCCAGATGAAAATACAGCTCAATTTGTGGAGAACAACTGCCTTGTTGGGAAAATTTATTCTGACAAGCATATCAACAAGAATGTTGTCAACATTATCCTCAATCACTCCTAGAATGCGGTAAGCCACTTGGAAATACATGAAGGGGATGGTGATACCGTCATATTTATTTTTGCAAATGAGGAAACAAAGAAGAGAATCTACAACCAGAGAGACCTTGGTTGATCAAGGGCCAGCTTCTTGTGATCAAACAGTGGACAAAGGCAACCCCCATAGCAGACATGGACTTCCACTCAACACCTTTCTGGATACAAGCTCATAGGCTCTCCCCAAATATGATAACACCAGAAAATGCAAAGAGAATTGCAAATGCCCTTGGCAAGCCAATGCAAGCAGAGGAAAAAATTGCCCAAAAACAATTTGGAAAAATCACCTGTGTACAAGGGTAATTTTAGACCTTATGCACTCACTTTACTTCTGGATGCCGGTGAGGGAAGCCCCTAGAATCCAGCTCCGATACCAAAGCTTGGAAAATTTTTGTTATAGATGTGGAATAATTGGCCATGAAAAATCCAATTGCATCTTTGAATCACCAATAGACAAGCACACCAAATACAATCAGCAACTGCGAGCATCTCCATGGAAAACTGGGAATATTCATCACACAACGAAGGTACATCTTTCGCCGAAAAACTCATCAGAAAAAGGATTGTCACCACCAACCCTCAATGATCATCTATGCTTAAAATTGTCGAGGGTTAGCCCATGCCTTGACAANCTTCTTGTGACCTTCAAACTCCATCTCTATCTATCTCTTCCTCCTCTCCTCCCTCTCCTACTGCCTTAGTAAATATGTGTGAATCCTTTATCTATTTCTCAAACCCTCTTTTTTTCTACAACCCCATAAATTACCCATTCTTCTTATGACGTTCAGTTCTCATCCCTTCCCTTTCAATAACCCATTCACCAAACCACTCATCCTTCGCACCCACACTGTGTTATGGACAAATTACAAAGCATTGATACAGAGTTCACAATTCAGCTCAACCCAGATGAAAATACAGCTCAATTTGTGGAGAACAACTGCCTTGTTGGGAAAATTTATTCTGACAAGCATATCAACAAGAATGTTGTCAACATTATCCTCAATCACTCCTAGAATGCAGTAAGCCACTTGGAAATACATGAAGGGGGTGATGATACCGTCATATTTATTTTTGCAAATGAGGAAACAAAGAAGAGAATCTACAACCAGAGAGACCTTGGTTGATCAAGGGCCAGCTTCTTGTGATCAAACAGTGGACAAAGGCAACCCCCATAGCAGACATGGACTTCCACTCAACACCTTTCTGGATACAAGCTCATAGGCTCTCCCCAAATATGATAACACCAGAAAATGCAAAGAGAATTGCAAATGCCCTTGGCAAGCCAATGCAAGCAGAGGAAAAAATTGCCCAAAAACAATTTGGAAAAATCACCTGTGTACAAGGGTAATTTTAGACCTTATGCACTCACTTTACTTCTGGATGCCGATGAGGGAAGCCCCTAGAATCCAGCTCCGATACCAAAGCTTGGAAAATTTTTGTTATAGATGTGGAATAATTGGCCATGAAAAATCCAATTGCATCTTTGAATCACCAATAGACAAGCACACCAAATACAATCAGCAACTGCGAGCATCTCCATGGAAAACTGGGAATATTCATCACACAACGAAGGTACATCTTTCGCCGAAAAACTCATCAGAAAAAGGATTGTCACCACCAACCCTCAATGATCATCTACGCTTAAAATTGTCGAGGGTTAGCCCATGCCTTGACAATTCATCACCTAATGGCTGAAATAAGAGAACACCATCCAGACATCCTCTTCCTCTTAGAAACAAAAATAAACACCCAAAAAAACCACAAAAAAAAACCTTCTTAGCCTCGGTTTCTATGACTTTGAAATCCAACCAGCAAAAGGCCTATTTAGGGGACCCTGTTTATATTGGAGGAAAGGTGTAGACCTTGAATTCATCTTATCCAACTACCGAAAATTCTCAACAGTGATCTTCTCCAACCCTCCAGACTCACAACTAGGGCAACTAGGGCAACTAGGGGCGTAAAACGTATCGGGTTAAATAGTTACGTGTCAGGTTAACAGGTGACAGGTGAAAAATATATAAATTCATACACGACACGTTTAATAAACGAATAAAAAATCTCAACACGAACACGACTCGTTTAACCTTTTTAATTTTAAAAAAATTATATTAACAAATTTTATTACTCCTATTTTTTATTGTCAATTTTATTTACCTCAAAAAAGAGGAATTTTTAGTCAAATCTCATAAAAATAAGACTTGAAGGCTTAAAAAAAAGTAAGAGGCCATTGCATTTTATAGGCAACTCAACCCTTCTCATCTCCCCTCATTTTTCAATGTGAGACAAAAACAAAAAGCATTGATTTGCCTTTGTCTTTGAAGTGCTCGTCATCTCCTCTCTTTTGTCTTTAAATTATTACTTTACTTTTTTTTTATTAATTTTTTTACTTCTTTTTTTCTTGCTAATTTTTTAAAATAATTATTAATTTATTATTATATTAACTTTATTTAAACAGGTAAACGTATGATAAACAGTTTGACAAGTCTTACCCGAACACAACCCGTTTATTAAATGTGTTTGGCGTGTCAACCCGTTTATCACTCAAACCCGTTAAGATATCACACAAACCCACTTAATTCGTATCGGTTAATCATGTCGTGTCGAATTTTGACAGCCCTACTCACAATAGATGGTTAATTGTGTTTATGCCTGAACTAATAAAAACAACATCAGCTATGGGACACAATGAACCAAATAACCACTGACACATCACACCCTTTCCTTTTCCTAGGAGACTTCAACAATGTCATTTCCCAAGATGAAAAATGAGATAGCATATCATTTGCATCTGCCTCAAGAGAAGGATTTAGCTCCTTAATACATAACTTGGGATTAGTGGATCTAGGCTTCAATGGTAATTCATTCACCTGGTCCATTAAGCTTGAAGGATTAGCAAACATAAAGGAAAGATTGGACAGGGGTTTATCTAGCTTGGAATGGAGGTCACTATTTCCCCAAGACACCATCAGACATCTACCTACTATTACCACAAATCAACACATATGGAGACCTATCCAACTTTCCCAAGCCTTCAAATTTGAACCTATGTGGATTGGAGATCTGGCTAGTCACCATTTAGTCAAAGGATCCTGAAAAACATCAGTCGGGGGATAAACATCATACAGGTTTTACAGGAAAATTCAGTCAACAAAGAAGGCATTAAAGCATTGGAATAAGGCACAGATTGGCAATTACATCCAAAGAGTCAGGAAAATTAAATCAAGAATTGATCAACTCCAACAAGCTAAGCTTACATAAGATAATATACTTGAGGAAAGAATACTACAATTTGATCTTGCTAAGCAGCAAAAAAGAGAGGAGGAAATTTGGAGGCAGAGGGTGTAGTGGATGTGGGAAGGTGATGCGCAAATTTTTTTTTTTTCCAGACAACCACAATCATCAAAAGGTGCAAAAACTCCATAGACTGCTTGAAAGTTCCAAATGAAAATTGGGTAACATAGAGAGATGAGATAGGTAACTATGCATGATGATTTTCACACAATAAAAGAATGGACAGAATTCTCCCTTAGTGAACTTGAGATTACATGAAAAGTCAACGATCCCGTGACAAATAGAGATGAGAAACGGTATGAGTGGTGATCAATTACTTTTCCAGTAGTCCGCATGATTTCGGCATGTCGAGATGGATTCTACCACTCAAAAAGAAAGGTTAGGAGGACACTGGAGTATTTTTTGGTGTGACCCTTTCGACGATCAAGTCAGTACGTGAGAGAGGGTGAGAATTCACTGTTTTGTTGCATGAGAATGATTTGTGTACCTTTGTCTTCAGTTTTTTAGAGCTATTTATTGTTTTTATGAGGGCCATCATTGTAGATAGGCGGACCCCATAAGGAAGAGGCATTCCATTGGCCCATTTGGAAAGCAATAGTGGTGGTGCCCAATCCTTGGGTAGAGAGCCTTCTGTTTTGCATGGGGGGACCATTAGCATTAATTGCTAGGGCTCCCGAGCACTTAATGCTCTTCCTTTGGGAACCCCTGGGTAATAAACACGTCTCATCCCTCTGGAGGATCATTAAATGCCACTCTGTGATGGCTGCGCTAAGGCAGGAGCATTCTCATCCATTGGCCCCCAATTCCATGCTTTGTGCCTTGTGTCTCGTTCTCTTTAGTCACTGGTCTTATCCTTTCTGCCATTCTGACTTCTTTGAGAAGGCAAACCAATGATTATTGACTAATTCTAACTTCAAAGAACGATAGACGCCAATTATTCACCCATGCCTTGGGGTCTTAGAGCCGAGATGACGTGTCCAAAATGGGCCTTCGGGTAGCTAATCACGCCGAGGACACTTGTTGTCACCTGAGCACTTTGAGGGGGCATCAATGCCGAGAACACGTGTCATCATATAATCATTCCAAGTGAACTCAGTGTCGAGGACACGTGTCAATATCTGGTCATTTCAAGGGGCATCGGTGCTAAGGACATGTGTCATCATCTGATCATTTCAAGGGACATCGGTGCCGAGGATATGTGTCATCATTTGATCCTCCCGAGTGTCCTTGGTGCTTAAGACATGTGTCATTCTTCTATTGATTCTCAAAAGTGTCCCATCAACTGCCCCTAGCCTTTGATCTTCTTAATAAATGAGTGATGTGTCGTGAGAAGATGAAAGGGCTTGATTCCCACCCTTACCTTCAGTCACTTTCCCTTCCTTGGAGATCGTGCCCCATTCAATACGTCTCTTTCGTGTTCTGTGCGCAATGATAGGGTCAGTTCCCCTATTTAAACAGGGTCCATGCCCTTTTCTTCCATTTTTTGCAATCTTCGGTTGTTCAGAGCTTTCCACCAGAATTCCCATCGGAGAAGCCACTGCTTTTGCTTGAATCTACTGCCACCCTCTCAGAAATCACCAGCAAAGGAAGTCACCAACCTCTCCTTTGTGCAAGAACTATTCTAATTTGGTGTGTAGTTGCTTCTCCTCCCCGTCTTTTTTTTCCCTGGTGACCACCCCTTTTCGTTTTTCCCCATTCTAGTTCTAATACTATCAAACTAGTCCTCAATCTTTCTTTTCCCTATCTTGAGCCCCGTGTAGTGGTTTCTAGGTCTTCCATACCCAAGAAGCACCCCTTTTGAATCCATTTTTCTCGTTGAAAAATGTCAAGACATCATCGTTGTACTAATGCCAAGGTCGAAGAGGTTGGACCCTTTAGGTCGTGGAAATACATAGTCAAGGTTGCCAATAAATCACCAATTTTAAAGCCCACTATTCCATCCCCAGTACCATCACTGTGAATGAGTTCATCCCTAGACTCCATCACACCGACGCTGGCATTGAAGTGGCCATGCCCTTCTATACCAAGACCATCATGGAAGATGGCCTAAGGTTTCCCCTCCATCCACTTCTCCTCCGTTTTTTGTCCCAATTTCATCTCTTTCCGGGGCAATGTTGCCTTAACATTTTTAGAATCATCATGGGAGTGGTGGTCTTGAATGAACACCTCCAAGTCAACCTCGACTTGGAGGACATCCTCTTCTATTACTCCTTGCTAAGGGTGATACCCTAGTAAAACTTTTACATCAAGGTCAGAGACCCTTCCATGTACCTTGTGACACATCTCTATGATTTGGACAAGGGGTACAAGGACAACTTACTGGTCTTTAGTAACGGATGGAAGAGGGGAGTCTGCTCCAAGTACGATGGCTTGTGGTGCCCCAAGCAATAGCGAACAACAAGTACGTTGACTTCTCTCTCTTCTCAGCTTTCCTTGCCTGGATAGGTTATTTACTTGTGTTTTGATCATTGTTTTTCATTTGTGCAGGAGTCTTTGACGCCGAGTATGCTCCCCTTCCTCGGCATCTTGTCAACTTTGCCAACATCATCACTGTTTAGGGGTATCTTTGCAACAGACTTGGTTGAGCCACTCACGTGCTCCTGGGCTACACTCCGGGGTACAAAATTTTTTTCCAAACTCCCCAACCATTTGATCCTGCCAGGTGGTCGGAGCTATCAAGCGAGAACTTGGAGGAGGATCTCGACAGAGCCACAAAAGTTGAAGTAGAGGATGTTAAAGACACAACCAACGAGGTTGTAGAGATCAGGGATCCCTCCACTACTATCCACGCCGAGACGAGCACTTTAGGCAGGGAAGCTTGGCCGGACATTAATGTATTACAGAACTTAGATGAAGAAAACACCTTAGAAGGGGCCATGTTGGACCCACTCCGCATCTCCCTCAGTCTCATCAGACAAAGAACAACCTTCGCCGCAGGATGGGGCCGAGGGTTGGGCTCTAACATTACCCCCTAATGGGGGCGTACTCCCCTTATTCTTCCTCCTCCCTCGGATGCATCAGTGTTGCTAACATCGACAGGGCGTGATTAAGGGCATGCCATGGATCCTCAACAAGAGAAAATGAGGCTCAAACAGAGACACGACGGTGTCGATCGTGGCAGGGGTACTCCCACCCCGCCCTCGACATTGGTTCCAACTCCAACTACAACAACAACAACAACTTCAACTTCAACTTCAAATCCAACTCTTCCATAAGTGTCGACCCCCCTCGCTGTAGAGTGGCACGGTCAGGCCCGAGATCATGACAATAGGCCAATCTGAGTTAATGATTCGCTCGTTACCTCCCCCCACGTTGCCTATGCTATGAGCGAGGCAATATTGCTCGACGCCGACATGGCAGTACATTAGGGGAAAGTGAGCAATCAACTCTTCCGCTCCATCATC